AGTGTATATTTATTAAGGTTAGGTAATTAATTCTTAATTTTGTGAAGTTGTCCTTAAGTAAGTTTTCACCATTTTCAATATAAAAAAAATGAAAACTCATTTGTATGTACACGTGGGGTGTATCCAATGATAATACAAAGACTTAATTTGTTTCATGTGTGCATTCAAATCATTATAAAAACAAATATATTTACAACTTCAAAGTTTTCATAAGATTTGAGAAAATGTTGTAATACAAGAATAGGTCAAGGTAACTAAAAAATTAAAATATATATCCTTTTGATAAATCACAACAATGTTAGGAAAAGAGAAATTTAGAGGTTTATAAAAAACGAAAGAAATATCAATTATATTAGAGATCTAAAAAATCTGACTTATCCAAATGAAGGGGCTTCAGGCTAGAAAAATTTGAAAAAACAAGGAAAGCTGGGCAATTTGTACATAAAAAATTTTCAGGGCAGACAATTCTTGCATAAAAATTCAGGAAGGGACTCACAAACATCTGATTTTGTAAAATTATAATAGGGCAGCTTGGGTATTAAAATTTAGATATAGTTTTTTGAATTTATAGCTAATATTATGATTATTACTATTAAAATATGCTTTATTTATATTTTAAGAGCTGTCTAAATAAAATACTATACCTATAAATAATATAGTAAATTAACAAAAAATTAAATAAGTTCATTATGATATGGTCCAATTACAAATACACAATAAAGATAATTTAAGTTGTAAAATAATGTAATATATATAAAAATTTTGACCAATAAAAAGATATTTTATAAATCCCTGCTCATTATGATTTTCCAGCAATATAATTAAATTAGGAAACGGTTGCAATAAAAATTAACTAAGTTGTAAAACAATCAAATTTATTCTCCCAATGAACTGTTGTTTAAGGATCATTTTTTAACTTAATAACCAGTTAAAGAGTTAGCACAGTATATTAATGTTATACTGATTGCATATTAATAACCATTTGATCAATTTTAGCATGTTAATAATACCTATCCTTCATATTTTCAAAAATGATAAATAATATGATAAACATGTGAGACATAATAATCATATATATAAAATTATAAAAATTTCTTTTTAAAAAGGGATTGATGTTTCATTATAATGTTAATATTTTTTGAATTTTCTAAACCAGCAGAATAATCATATTTCTACTAATGCAGTGTTGTTAATGATGAATAAGGCATGGAGATTAATTAGAACTGCTTAATGGCAAAGGCTATTATAAAAATATTAAATAAAAGCTATTAGCTGTGTATTGGAGGGGAGGGGGTTCAATGACCATCTCAATTTTTTAAAGTTGAATAGAATTACATTTATTAAAATATGAAATAAATACAAATATCAATTTTATTATTGCAATTAGTGATGGAAAATTGCTCCATCATCAGGGCCGTAGCCAGGAATTTTCACTTAGGGGGGCCAAGTGCTTACTTGGGGGGGGGGGCACTATTTTATTTAAATCAAACAAATAATTACACATTCATAGAAATTTTTTCCTATTTTTATTAAAAATTTAATAACAAAATAATACTAATATGAATATACAAAACAAAATAATACTATAATATGCATATACAAAACAAAATATTACTATAATAGAATACGGCGATTTTTATTTTTTAATTTTAAGATAAATGAACTAAAAGATAAATTCTTAGTTATTCTTTTTTCATACGCCATTAATACTAAATTTTGTTTACGTTTATCCTTCATAGACTCTCTACTGCTCAATAAAACTCTCTTTAATGTAGAGAACGAGGCCTCACAAGAAGCCGTTGATATCCCAATGATTATCGCTGCTGAGTAGCATTTATATAATTCTTTAAATGCATGATTATATTTTTTTTATACATAATATGTAAGATATTTTCAAAATTATGATTTTCTTTAGCTTCCGAAGGTAACAATGGTATTGTTATCTTCATTTCATTATGCAGTGTTTCCATATTTAAGTTTAACAGGGATTTTAATTGTGCCATTTTATCTGATAAAAAATAATCAGGGTCAAGGGGGGGACAATGTATTAAAAGATTAAAATCATCTTCTGTAAATCAGTCTAAAAAACGATCCACAAAGTTATCTATAATTTCATAATATATCCTTTTTAAAGAACTCCAATTGGAGTCTTTTTCACAATCGAATTCTAGTTTGCTATCAACTAAAAAATCTTGGAAATTTTTAGGCGTTTTACATACCCGTGATGATTTTTGGGGAGTAAGATTAAATTTTAATAAAAGTTTTTCAGCCTTAATCATAATCAAAGCAAAAGAATTATCACTTCTTTTATTTTTTAATATATTGATAGTAGAATCAATACAATTTTTAGCATCCACTAGATTAGTATCTACTGATTGTAGATACTTATTTAGTGGATCTATTGTAATTAATATCTCATAAATTATAATGGCTAATATAATGTGATTTATATTAATACATTGAGATAAAAGACCAGAGGCTTCGACTGAATTATGAATTGAAACCTCTGAATTAAGAGTTCTATTAAAAAAGTAAAATAATACTTCACCAATAGCCTTAAAATTCTCATAAATAATGCAAGATGTTTCCAAATGACCAGTCCACCTCTGGTCTAAAAGTCTCTTAAGGGTGTGGCTTGTATATTTAAAGGATACGTTAAAACGCCTGAAAAAAATATACAATGCATTTGATAAATTAAAAAAATTAGAAATAATAACAATATTATTATACCAATTTTGAACCACAAGATGCAACTTGTGGTTGTAGCAATGTATAAAAGGAACATTTTTATTAATTTTTTTTGAAGAAGTGTTTGCACTCCTCCATTTAGGCCAGACATAACGTTTGCACCATCATATGCCTGGCTTATTATATTAGCTGAATTAATATTTAGATCATTAAGTTGCTTTAAAATGCAATCTGTAATGCTTTCAGCAGAAAGACACTCTAAATTAATGATTCCTATTAAATTTTCTTGGATTTCTCCAGAAAAAATATAGCGAATTATTAAGCTCAAGTTTTCACAACCTGAAGCATCTTTTGTCTCATCAGCCTTAAGACAAAAAAAAGTATCTCGCTTTTATTATATTTGTCTGAAATATGTTCAAGCACCATATCTGCCATAATGGATATTACTTCATTTTGAATATGTGGTGATGTATACTCAGCATTTTGGGGTATAAATTTCATAATTTTATTTAATTCAGGGTCTTTTTGGATGGTGTAGGAAAACATTGCTATAAATAGCCCAGAAGAATAAATTATGTTTTTATCTTTTGCAGCATCCGTAATATTTGTTGAACCAGTCCCACGGAAAGGTAGATCTTGTATGCTAAGAAATAGCAACAAATCAAATATTGATTTAATATAATATTGATTACGATTAATTTGATCACCTCCCAACATTTTAGATATTTCTGTATATTTGTTTATATTTTGATTTTTATCATGCCATATTAATTGAATTTAAATGAGCTTTTGAGCTCTCATGTTTTAGCAGTCCCTTCTTGGCAGCTAACGCATTTTTCCAATTTCTGAATCCCGTTTGTCCAAATTCATCACTTGGATTACACAAGTGATTCCTACATGGAAAACAAAAGGCAGCATCAGCTTCTAAACTATACTCCAACCAGTCTCGGCCTCTATACCATGATTTTTGAAATGATCTTTGCCTTCCATGGATATCTTTTTTCGCGTAATTGTTTAATTTGATTTGATTTGGTTTATTCTGGCCAAGGCACTTGGGATTTAAATTGAACCATTAGAGGACTTTTTTGACACTAAAAATATTATAATTAATAAATTGCAATGAGGGAAAGGGTCATAAATAATAATGGTCATCAGGAGAATGTTATACACAACAAAAAAAAATGAAAAAAAAATGAATGAATGATAATTTAATATTGGGTAAAAATAAAACAGGATAGAAAAAATTTTACCAACTAGACATGTTTGTAGAATAAATATTCAAAATTATTTTAAAAATATAAAAATAATCAATTCTAAATAGACATGTTTCTTGAATATTTTTAAATAAATATTCAAAATTTATATTAAAAATATAAAAATAATCAATTCTAAAAAAAAATTTCAAATTTTTTTGGGGGGGGGGGGATGCAGAAAAATTTTTGGGGGCTAAAGATATTTTCTGGGGGCCAGAAATTATTTTGGCTACGGCCCTGTCCATCATAGCTAATTTTTAAAATGACTAACTCACAATTTTGGGTAGAAAAATATCATCTAAGCCTTAAGATTTGATAATGTTCAAACCGATGCCATCTATATTAGACTTGTGTAATATTTTTCTGGATAAAATATTGATAGCCATTTATAAAAATCTGCTCAAATGGAGTAATTTTGCATTACTAATTCCAATGATAAAAAGATTTATAGGAATTTTATAGATAATTTTTTGTACGGAGCACATGCTCTTGTTTAATCAAATTAATATAGACTTATCTATTTCCATTGTCTAATTCAAATTTACAAGAAACAAATAATTTAGAAATTCTGCTAATAATATATAAGCCAAAGATGATTCAAAGTCAGCTAAAATTAGATTTTAAAAAATTGTAATATAATTTACATATTAATTTTAAAGATAATTAGTTTTAAAAATGATTTAAATAAAATTTTGTAATTGAAATCAGATCTAATTATTTTTGATGGCTTTGATATGGGGAATATAGATATTTTCAGGGTTTCTTAAAAATTAAATTTTTTATGCATAGGGAATAGGGTATCTATTAATATGTTAAAAATATTGAAGAAATTAATTATTAATATAATTCAAGTAATTTGAATTCTTTCAGATTCAAGAATGGATAGGAAATAGGTATAGCTTGAACCAGACCAATGATTTAATAAATTAGATATTCAAAAAAATTACAAATATTTAAACATAAAACTCTTTTATAAAATATTTTATATGTAAAATATATTTCTAAATATGTATATACATACAAAACAAATATAATTTATTTATTATATATTACATAAAATGTACATTTTATATATATAGGATTATAAATCATATTTACAAAATTATGTCACCTTTTTTTAAACCCATATTTCTTTCTTTCATAGAATAAATCTGTCTTAGCACTACCCAGATTCACAATTTTAGGACAACCATCTCTCTAAATCATTTAAATATAGTAAAAAAAAAGATTATTGTTACATCTTTTTCTTGCATTGTACACTCTTTACAATAATATGCATCTGATATTCCAGGTCCTCCACAAATAACGCATCTACCTTGATATGATCCATAATTACATTCATCACATATTCTAACTAATGTACAAGGTCGGACATAGGAATCACAAATCACACATTTACCATCACATTTTTCACATAACCGACCTATAGCTAATAAAAATTAATAATAACAACAGGTTTATTATTTTAAAACATACCAACTCCCGGTTGTTTGCGGCAAAAAATTAAATCAGGATGATGCCTAGCCATATTTTCTTTATGAATGAATGACTAAAAGAAATATTTGCTTACCCTTTCAACTCGGTACATATAAAATAAAATTTCACATATAGCTGCTGAAAAGCGGTGTAGCAATATAACTATTCACATATAAAATGACCCCAAATTTTATAAAATATCATTTTATTACAAACTAATCTTAAATAAATCTGTCTTCTGGTGAAATTAGGATAGAATAAATATTATTTATATCATGTCAGTTTTTCCTCTTCTCCTTTGAAATCAAAATAATTATTATGTATGGATCATATGACTAGCTGCACATGCATCCTATCAGCTTAATATTTTTTGACCTAGAGAAATACAAAGTTTTTAAAATAAAATACATGATAGCAAAATAAAATTTTGCAAACTTAGGCTTTATGCAGACGTAACTTTAGGGCTGGGGTTTGAAGAGAGCCTCTATAAAATTTTAAAACTTTCTCATCTTAGGTTAATATTACTTTTTTTGTTAATTTTAAAACATTTTTAAAAGTGAACCTTAGAAGTTAAAAAAACCCTCTACTCCTTTTAACTAATTTAATTATAACTGTTACCCATAAACATTTTATATTTATAAAAGAAGACAATCTAATTTTTATGTATAATATATATATGTAAAATCATAACTTTCAAGTAATGGAATGATTGACATCGACCGCCTGATAACAAAAAAAGTTCAAAATAAATATTATCTATATTTATATTTTCAAATTTCAAAGACATTATGTCTCGTACTATGTAATTAATAATTATTAATAAATGCATGATAACTTACCATCTAAAATTTTGCCATGGGATAATTTCAAAAACTGGATATATTGTATAATTGTTGTTAAATTTGACCTAGAATTAGGCCAAACTTTTGAGGTAATTAAATATGATTTATTGTATAACCTTTCTTTATGTAATTTACCTAGATGGTATATCCTCAAAATACAAGCTTGAATGAAAAAGAAGTAATTGAAATATATATTTTAAATAATAATTTCATATTTTAAGAGAATGAATATATGCTTTCTATCATTCCCAGATTCAAATTCGTGTTAGTGTTTATATGGTATTTAATTTAGTTATTTTATATCATATAGCAACAATTGGTGATACTATTTATCATTTTCGCTTACCTATTGCTTTTTCCCATCGAAAGTCATTTTCTCTGTCATTAACCTTTAATAAACAATGTTTACCCATCCTTATGGTTTAAAGACTATAATATTTTTAAAAAAATATTCTATTTTGTTCAGGTAAATGAAAACTCTTTTTATGGATATGTTTTTTTTCGCCAAGTCAAAGATCCCTCTTCAATAAGGGGATATTTTCAAAAGGTAATAATGTATTTTTAAGCTTAAATATCCTATATTTTTATTAGAGCCTAATAATTCTAAGCAAATATACTTTTCACAACCTATTTTATTATATATTAAACATGATGGCACCATTTTACTTTGAAAATGGAGTTCCTGCTCTAGAATCAGGTTAAATATATTATATATATTTGTGAATAATTAAATTTTAGCATCAAATGATATTGACCAATGGCCCCCACCCAAACCAGGAATTTTGTATAATCTACCATTTATGGGAAAAATTATCAAAGTCTTTTTAAAATAATTATTTACCTATATATTAGACCCATACAAATTTTATCTAGTTTTGGCTTTAGTCTCATTCATTTTTATAAATTTTAGCCCAATAAAAAGTTTACTTTTAGACCCAAGTTTCATCTAATATTTTGTAATTGATAAAATAATGATTAAATGTACTTTTATAAAGTTTAAAAAAAAATCACAAATTACTCTGTCCTTTCTTAAATACCCGAGAAGAAATTTTTCCCAAGGTGACTCCATTGATTCTGGTACAGAAGGCCAATTGCAAGTTGAGATATGCGGATTTTAGAGTAACTCTCAATCCATGTATAGTAGAGGTAAAATACCTGCTACCAAAAATTAAAAATATTTTTTCCCCTTGGCCAAAATTTATTAAAATATTGGTAACGGGTATTTTACTCTCCTAACAGCTCATACCAATTTTTTAAATTTTCAGTAATAACAAATAATTTAAAATAAAATTTTTTAACCCAAAATTTTTGAGTCAGATCTCATTTAAAATATTTTATGGGGTCAGGCGCATACGCAGGAATTTGGTCTGGGAGGGGGATAATAAAATTTTTTAAGAAATATTATTGTTTTTTAAAAATATCAAGCATAAATTTTTTAGGACTAATAACTATTCCTAATACACAATTTTAAATTAATGTGAATTATAAAAAAATTATATGTAAAGAATTACTTAAATGACCCAATTTGAGCCTTTACACAAAAAGTTTCTTAGGAATAATTGTATTTTGTATGTTATATATTTACAATGTAAAATCCAATCTTCGTTGGGATTGAGCTAATTTTTCAATTATCTCATCCTTGCTTGTCGTCAAATGCCTATGAATATTCAAAAGATCCAAACCTTTCAATCTACTTTCAGATGTTGTACTTCTTGGTATGTTTTTCAGAGACCTGCAGGAATTTTTTTAAATATACCTGGGACGGGCCTGAAATTTTTTTTAAAAACACCCAGGCCGGGCCTAGTGTTGTTAAACGGCTCGTTTTGAGCCGATTTTTAAAAACGGCTAACTCAATATTTTAACCAGATAAATATTGCCTAAGCCTCAAGATTTCGATAATATATGCCGAGACCTTTGTTCCTTCTATGAGCAAAATCTTCAGGCTTAGGTAATATTTTTCTGAATGAATTATTGAGTTAGCCGTTTTTAAAAATCGGCTCAAAATGAGCCGTTTAACAACACTAGCCGGGCCTGAGTTTTTTTTAAAAAAACACCCAATTTGGTCCTGAATTATTTTAAAAAAACACCCAGGCCTTGCTGTATTTTTTAAAACAGCCTATATTTGAAATCGTTATAATTAGCTATAAAAATAAAATTTATTTTAAAAAAATCCGGGCCGGGCCTGAAATTTTTTTAAAAAAAGCCGAGCCGGGCCTAATAATTTTTTTAAAAAAGCCGGGCCGGGCCTGAAAATTTTTAAAAAAAACCCAGGCCGGGCTGTAAAAAATCTTTAAAAAAAATCCAGGACGTGCCCTGCAAATGGTATCTGCAGACCTCTGTTATTTTTCTTAAAAAATAGAATGTTCTCTCATTAGTTTACTAATGGGAAGAGTTTATAAACCCTTTTAATATATTGGGAATTTAATCTAAAATGTGTTTGAAATAATGCAGAGCATCCATAGCATTTTTTGGGACTATATCAACCATTGTTAATCTTATAAACATAGTTATTCAGCTATTAAGGCATCATAAGATACTTTAAGATCTTCATAATAATAAAAATCTAACAAATATTTTAAATAAAATAAAATAAAATAAAATTCTTTCTTTCTTATATTTGCAGATTAGTAAGTTCTGAATGATGAATTAAAAATTCATTTATTTGGGTTATAAATGTATCTGTATCTAAGATATACTCTTCTACTGATCCTATATTAATGTTTTAACGATGAGCTTGCCTTGCTACAAGTCGAGGGAGACAAATATTAAACACGTATAGCTCTGCTTTTGACTCAACAATAAAATATGAAATTCTTCATCAACATTAGCCCTAATTTCCTTGAGTTCTGATAAAATGCTCTCCGCCATTCTCATCTACTTAATCAAGTCAATGTCATGTTTTTGAAAAGTAATACTTAAAATAGTTGTATAATTAAATAATACATTCTAATGAGATATAAAATTTGGAATAAGCATTGAATCCAATAATTTTCTTGCTTCTGAGGAAATATTTCTTTCAGGCCATAGTGATATTTCTGTAATAGCAAATAATTGGCTCTTCTAACTCCTTAAAAGCTGTTACTGCTTGATGGCAGTGACTATCTCGTTGGACAAGGTTGCAATTTCTTTTTCCCTGTGTTTCAGAAATAATTATTATTTGACTAGAAATTTGAAAATGGTAGATAAATATTACGCCACTAAAAATTTGAAAATAATAAGTAAATATTACGCCGGAAAACTTGAAATCGAAATTAATTGATAAAATAACTTATGAATGTGATAATAAATGTAATTATATATATATTTAATATGAGATACGAATAAATATTAACAAATATAAATTAATATAAACAATAATATTTTTGAAAAATATATCCGGCATCTGTATTTTTTGGCTTGGGAAGGGGATTTGTCCCCTGCCCCCCCCCCCGCTGCGTACACCAATGTATGGGGTCAACGTGCAGGGATTTATGGACCATATATTTTAGGACTATTCAAAAACTATTCTAATATTCGATTCGGTCTGAATTAAATCTAATAGCAACTTAAATTATTTGATATGTTTGAGTATTAATAAAAAATTATTCAATTTGAAATGAAACGATTTATTTTAATTTCGTTAATAACTTTATCGCATATTATGTATCTTCAGATTATTATAATAAATTTTTTCAGTTTAGAAATTAGATATGCAATAAAAAATTGAAAAATTCTGTCAATGTCAAGATATTCTAGTATAAATTATCTTATAATGAGACAAATTAATCGAAACGAATACGAATATCTATTTGTTAGCCTAATCTATAGGCTCTAAGTCATTTTTTTTAATATAAAGTGCATTCGCTCTTTAAACCCATCTAGGCACAACAGAGCTACGCTTATTTCTTATTTCCATCTAATTGGGTTTTAATAAAAGAATTTCAGGGAAAAATATGAGAAGCCCTTTACACTTTGTGGGCAAGCCATATATACTTGTGCGCATAATAGTCCAAGGACTATTATTTAAACGTATCTGAGCTGATTGAGTGGTGATGAACCAAAATTAACATCCCACACCCATAACCTACTGATATATTTATATTTTATTGCATTAGGGATAGGAGTAGGGCTGACCTAAATTTAGTAATTAATGAGTTAAAGTGGTGATTAAAATATAAGTATATAACCTGTTATCTTGTTGAAGATATTATCGGAACATCGTTTTTATAGTAGTTGAAGAGGAGAATGAGTAGAGATGTAAGAGAGTGGGATATTATTTTAAATAGCTAGCAAGTTATTGTAGTGGTTTCTTAGAATCTTTATTATGTTTATTTCAATACCGACCTCTGATAGTATTTTCCAGAGAGCTTCATGGTGTCGACGTAGTCAAAAGCTCTTTTGAAGTCGATAAACGTGAAAAAGAAAGGTAATTTATACCTATAACATTTTTGGACAATGAATTTGAGAGTGAGAAAGGACTCCATGATATTCTTGCCTGGACGATATGCGCAAATATATTTGGAGAAAAGGTTTTGTGACGTTTGTAAAATATGAGTCTCTAGGATGACCATGAAGATCTTGGATGTGGTTGAAGTGAGCTTTATGGCCCTCTAATCGCAGAATTGGAGGTATTTTGATTTTCGGGAAGTTACATAGAAGTGATAAATTCCAGTCTTTAGATGTCATTCCAGTAAACTCGATTTTATTAAAATTTATGAGTAGGAAGTTTATGCAGCATTGGGTGCCGCTTTGAGATGTTATCCGGGCCAGGAGCCTTATGGTTTTTGAGTTTCTTTAATGGAGTATTTCAGTTATTGAAAATTGTGAGGTGGATTGAGATGTATATTGTTGAGACGATATTAAAAAATGTTCATATAATAATCTATCCACATTACCATCTGTCCTGGTCAATTATGAATTTGTTATTTTCCAGCCGAATGAAAGGGAATTTTTTAAAGATCTTTGATTTGTAGAAATATTTGAGTTTACTATAAGCGTCCAAAAGTCTATTTCCTCTCATATCCATATCAATCTCATATGCTTAATCTTATTCATTTTAAATTAGGTCTTTCCGATTCGAATTTTTTCTCATCGATGTAAAGGATGTGCAATCGCCTGGTTTTAACTCCCGAAAGCCAGCCCTACCAATGTTTAACTTTTTTTTAGCTCGTTCACCTGCCCAATTTAAAATTATTTGATTGGTTGGTTTCGTTCTATACTTATTTTATTTAATATATTTTCACTTAAATTTTAAAACATGCAACACTACGAAATAAAAAGGTAACTTTTAATAAATAAACTCATATTCATTTTCCAGAACATTTTTTAACCGTAAAAAAATTTAAATTTACTCGCCGTCTCCCCCAAAGTTTTAAGAAAAATAATCACAAAAGATTTTTTTTACAAAAAAGAAGATATAGAATTTTAAAATAAAATTTGATCAACCTTTTTTTACCATTTCAAATTTTATAAATAAAAAATTTTCGAATAACAAATTTTTATTTAAAAAAATATTATACGTGTAGCCATTTTATTTTAGTGCAGAATTCCTAAAGGCGATGACCTGCTCAATAATTCTCACATATTGGAACTCTATCAGGACGACAATTTTCATTATAAGGATGCATTTAACACGATATTTATACCAAATCTTTACGAATTCGATATTTATAAGTACACAAAAAAAATTATATTGTAATTATTTTGTGCATAATAAAATGTTCTTTGACATTTTTTTAGAAAATTTTTAAAGCCCTGGTATAAGTAAATAAAAGTAGAACTAATTTGGTTATCACTCGGAATCAGAATATTTTCCCTAAATTATAAGTGGTCTGGATTATTAAAAATTAGAAATAATGATGAAAGTAAATGATAAAAACTAAATGTAAAAAATTGTTAATTTTTTTAAAAATCGAAATTATTCTGTATTCACAGTTAGTTCGAATTCGCGACGAAATATACAAAAATACAGTATATTTGTATACTTCGACGCTAATTCCTGTTAACGGTGAATGCCTGGTTATAGTCCCCACAGAGTGTTTGCATTTTTGCGGTACTTATTTAATAAAAAAAATGTTAAGCCTCATTTAAAGTAAACGCGTTATGTTCAAACGTTGCGTTATTTAACGCAGTCGAAATTACAGCATAGCGTTAATAATTTTTGATAATATTTTTCAAATTTTATCATAGTGTTATCATCATAACGCTCCATATTTATTGGGTTGATTTTATAAATAACGCACTTAAGCATAACACACACTCTAAATGAGGCCCAACCCTGCATTAAGACGAATTCGTGACTAAGTTACAAAAATTAATGTAAAATGATTATATTTATATCGTATTTTGTATACTTCGCTGCGAATTTGCGTTAACTGTCGTATCCTTTGTTTAAAATATGGTCGCCTTTTTTATTTTAGAAGGTATTATCACTTTAAATTTTTAACTAAATTATAAAAAGGAATTGGTTTTTGTTTTATCGTCTGCATTTTTATTACATTTAGAAATATTCTATTTTAAAAAATAAGTTATATTTTTACATTTTATATAATTTAAAAAAAAATTTACACATATAATTAAAACAACAAGAAAGGGATTTTTAATGCCCTCCCCCTTATTAATTTTACATGGGTAACAAGGTTTTGTCGACTTCCTTATTAAAAAGCTGAGTCGTTAAAGAAAGTGTGTTAAAAACGGGCAAAATGAGTGAATAAATAAAATATTGAAAAAAGCAAACTATTATGGGTTTTTCTAAATGGTTCCTAACGCCAAACGGTTGTTTGACCAATTTGTAAGATACCATTTGCAATCCATTATTTGCGTTTGAAACGCTCAATTTGTGCATAATATTAATAATTATACACTTTTTTTGTTATTAATCGGATAGCTTTAAATTAACTCAATATTTTTCATTATACCAAAATGTATCGTCGATTCTGATGTTGAAAAATAAACAATCGATAAAACCTATATAATACATTGCTAGTATTCGGCCTCATTTATAGTAATCGCGAAATACAGCGATATAGCTCAGACGATGCGTAATTTAGAAAAAATACATAATGTTAAATTATACAATACTATAGCTTGGCCAATATTACGCATCCCTTGAGCGACATCGCGGTATTTCGGGCTTATCATAAAATGAGGCCATCTTATTTTTTTAAAAAAATAATTCTTTTCTTTCTCCAAAAAAAATATACAAGCTGTTTATGTCCAATAATCTCGCAAATCCATCTGTTATGGGAATTAGTTCTGATTTGCCAAGTATAATATTAAATTATAATTATTTTAAATCACATATAGAAATTTTTTTCTTTTAACTTGCTACTCGAAAATTAAATTTTGGCCCTTCACAAATTGAACACGAAATTGCGCGAATTCGTCTCTATCAACTAAAACGCGAATATTAAACCTAAAAAAAAATTAAATTCGATTTTCACTCCTGGCGAAATGATATTTCCCTAATTTCGCTCAATTTATAATAATAAAGTTTAGGGAGAGACGAAATACTTAAAAATATTATATTTTAAAAAATTTACATAAATAAAGCCCTTGACTTATATATTATGATAATTCATGACTTCATTTCTTAATATAATTATCATCTTATGAGGCTTAAAAAAAAGCAAGAATTTATTAATTAAGTAGATGATAAAAAGATCAACATAACCCCTGCTAAAAAATATAATAGTTATTTAATTGTTTATATTTTCCATTTTAGGATCATTATTATTAAATATTTTCTAAAATATATCTCTAACCCCCCTCCTCCCCCTACGCGAAAATATAGAATAGGTTAAGTATTGACTATCAGGTTACATTCCTGAGAATTACTCCGTGAAGTTGCGAAATTAATTATTTTGCAAAATAAACTCAAACACAGGCTTAACATTATGATAATTTTGACAGATGAAATTGTTTCGTTTTTTTAAAGTTTACAGTGGATGGACCTTAGGCCTGATTAAATTAAGAAATTCATGTTTTTATTATAAAATTTTACCTTTCTAATTTATAAAAATTTAAAACTTGTAAACTTGCAAAAATATCATTTTAATCTTATTTTGCATATTTTGAAAAATATTTTTTACTTACAAGTTAAAATGATAATCTGATTATCAAAAAAAATTTGAAATTTATGATAATTTTTTTTTGTTATAATATAAACGGAAATTTAGCCTATACTCGTAATTGGAACGTCGCCCTCTATATGCTCAAGCGTGGTGGAAGTGTTAATAAGGTTTTTTAAACTTTATTACTGGATTTATAGTAGGATCAGATCCTAAACGATTTAACAACTGATCGATTTTTAAAATGTGATTGTAAGGTCCGCTCCGCTGTTAAATGGTGTCGGATCATATCCTACAATGAATGGCAACCCTAAACTTAATTATTTTATAAAATCATCCTAAATTGACCAATCATGTTTTATTTACGGTACAGCTCTCATTATATAAAATATAGTTTTAACTAGCCAATTTAGTCTATTCTAAAAAATATATTTTTAAGTCTCAGATAAACTTGCTTATGATTTAAAGTTACTCGTTTAATATTCTGCTCATTTTTTTAAAAAAAAAAGTTTAATATGGCCCATTAAATACGCTCCCGATTATCGACCCTATTTTACTATACAAGATCAAGACTTCAAACGATATATATCATCAACTAACGATAATCCGTAAGTATGAAATCAGATGATTACTTCATTTTTTTTATTCATTTACACAAATTGTTAAATTTATAATTTACTTCTTTTTTTAAGTTTATTATCATACAATAGAAATATTAGATATTTATTAGGTGGGTTGTGAAAATTGTAAGGTCGAGTCAAATGGTCTAACCCATTTGTAGGATTTGGCTATAAAAATTTAGCCCGAATTACCCCTCCTTTTATGGTTAGCGCGAAATACGCTGTATTTTTGTATTACCTGCCTGAATTCGCGCTAACTATGAATGCTGGGTTAATTCATACGATATTATTCGAATCAACTCTAGGTATATTATTATGATAAATCCTCCCCTTGAATATCTGCTCCTTTAAAATATAAAAATATCTAGACCCGATGAATCATTAATTTAAATGGGTATTATTAACACAAGTCAGCTGGTGATACGCCATTTTTGTTTCCCATACAAATAATTTACATAAAAATATTATGAAAGCTTTTTTTTATTGAAAAATCAAAGGAAATTAAAATGGCCTATCAACAGTTAATTTGTTTGTCCATACGACGCTTTCAATTACATTTTAATAAATAAAACGTTCAGTCTAGGAAGGAATTCTATGTCATACATTCATTATCAATATTTTAAAAAGGTAGCATACAGTTAATGAATATAATATGAATACATTTTCTTTTTCGATCTCCATATTATTTATCTTTAAAAAATAATTATACAATGAACGAGTTATAATTTTTGCTTTATTATTATAAACATTTTTTTTACCCCCATTGACTCAGATCCTACCAATATAATTTTTTTAAAGCTGTCTCTTAGTATTTATAAGTAGAATCTGTTTAGCCGTTTATATAGCTTCCTCTAAACAGAATAAAAAGAAAGATACTATTTAGATTTAGTGTAACATACTTAAAACAAAACAGAATTAAGGTGTTCTAGTTCAGAATCTGAATAGGTTGGTCTAAACCAGGAATGCAAACTCGGTAAAAATATTAACCGGGTTCGGCTCGGGGTTCATGGGAATATTTTTGATCTGGAGTTTGGTTCTAGGTTCAGGTCGGGTTTAGGAATATTTAATTGTATATAAAAAATAATTTATATATTTAAATCATAATTATATTTAGAAGCAAAGTATATTTATAAAAATACAAAGCATAGTCATGTGTCAATTTTAAAAAATTTATATAGACGGTATTACCAAGAGTTGTTCGCTTATCCTCGATCTATGAGGTAAAAAAAAAGAATTTCAAATGTGAAAAAGATCTTTAACGCCAATCTATATTAAATATATTTATATAAAAATATGAATAATTAAGATAAATTAATATGGGTTGCAGGAACATCAAATAAAAACAAATTGCTAATGATTGTTTCAGGATGATGGGTTCAAATATAATTGTCAAATTGGTGATTTTATCGGGAAGGATTTTGTAGTAAAGATCAGACTCTTTGTAACGCTTTCTACTTGATTTAATTTTTCGATTTTATACATTTTGGAATATATCGGATTCTATTTGATCGATTAAAAAAAAATATTATTATAAATGAATTTTTTTTAGACCTTCGGTATTACTCGGTGTAACAAATCCATTCTTCGCGAAAACGTTACAGCATTGGCCTCATATCGTTCGAATAAATCCGCTCATATGTAAATACTTAATTTTTATTCAAACTTTTCAATTCGAAAGTTTGCATATTTTAAGTGTTAGCGGAACTTGGTTATCCGCTCGCGTTAAAAATTTCTGCTAATATTAAACCGTTTTTAAGCCCTGTGCCATTATGCAAAGCATTTTAATTACTCAAACATCAAACTCCTCTATATGATAAAAATCATACACATTAACCCTGTATTTAAAAACAAGCGAAATTTATCGTTTTTCCTTGTGGGACATCTAGATTTTCATAATTATTTTTAAAAAATTTATTAAATGAAGATGATTTGTTTTTGAAAAGTATTTGTGTTATGTTATTAGAATTATTTAAAAAATTTTTTTTAAATAAGCGCCAAAATCTTCCAAAATTAAGAAATCCATCAAAAGGGCATCATTGTTGCAACCGTTCGAAAATAAAACAGGTGATTTTTAATAGAAGCAAAAATTATATCCCATAAACTATTGTTATGAAAGAAAGAAATAAAGGGGTTCATTTTTTTACGCCCTGCTTTAAGGATATTTTTTTTTGTTTTAAGAGTTACTTAATTTATTTATAAAAAGCCCTTTGCCCCCCTCCTTGCTTGAGAACCATTTTTCTCCTCGGTAAAATATCGATTTATTTTGATAATCGCACTTAAAATTACCTTCTAATGATTAAATAAGGTTTTTTTGTAGTAATAAAGTGTTACAATATTTAAGGGAACCAAAAAGAAATCTAGTTAATAATATTCTTAATAATTATTATAAAACATTTATTATATAATTTTTTTAAGGCGTTTACACCAAATACAAAACCTATATTAACAAAGACAAATGGTTCCTCAACAAATTAAACAAGGTTTTTTGATAAAATGACTTTTATAAAAAAGCAAAGTTGTGATCTCGATTATTTATGGATAAAGTAAAATTTCGGTGCCTATCTTCTCCGTTTAAGGTCGATTCCGTGTTTTGAGTTGACAGCATAAGGGTTCATTCACAGTAGTGAGCGACAGCGACAGACATTAAACGACAGAGCAGTTGATGTGTCGTGAGCGACATAGCATTCATAGTAGTTGCGACAAGTATATTTTTATTTTTAAATAAATGTTATGAATATATCCATTTGAAACCACCTAATTTAAATGACTTGAAAATAATTGCTGATCAATTTGAGAAGTTTGAACCACCAAATTGTGTTGGAGCCATTGATGGCAAGCACATTAAGATTAAAAATCCTTCTAAATCTGGGAGCATATATTACAGTTATAAACAATATTTCTCCATGATATTACAAGCATTAGTAGATGGTAAAGTAGATTTATAGTAATTGCTGTAGGCAGTGAATCAGATGGAGGTGTGTAATCAAATATTATATTAAGAAACCTTATAGAGGTAAGTTAATGTTACCAATAGTGAATGAATTATGAAAACTTGTCCACTGTTACACAATTTGGCGATTGATAAAGTAAACATAAATCTCCACCCCAAGTAAACAAAATAAACATTTATATTTTGATTAAAATAATATAAAGGCCCTTCAATGAATAATAACAATGCAATATAATATTTTTTATTACACTTTCTTAATTAAATAATATATCAAAAATCATTTTAATTAGTTTCTTCTTTGCCCTCTCTGATCTTTTTGCAAGGGTTTGTACAAGCATAACATTGATCCAAGAGTTTGTTAATAATCTTTATTCTTTTATTTTTTCTATTTCAAGAATTTGCTTAAATAAATCTAGATTAAAATAATAAATATATTTACAAATGCAAATTACCTTGATCAATATCCCTCTTTTTTAATTTTTTGCAAGATGTATATGATCCTATAATAGTTGATGGTGATGCTAAATATATATATTATTTATATAAAATATAATTAGGGGAGACCGGGGTTATATCGTCCATAAAAAATTGAGAGGCTATGAAAAGGAGGAGAAATAATTTATCAAAATAATTTTGATGTTATTTTATTCTTTATATAATTATCTACGGTAGAAATTAATATCTAATAAAAAAATATTATATATTTTTTTAAATTTAAAAAAAAAATGAAAATGTTTGAGTCATGAAAAAGAGACGGGGGACGTATTATCCTTTTGTGGGGCATGTTTTAGACTATCATTTTATTCATTTTTTCCATACAAAATTCATTACAAACATATAATATTAACATACACCACATTTATTACATATAAAAAATGGATTAAAATCACAACATGATCCATGTGCCCATAAATGACAATTACGGCATTGGAACCAATCTTCATTATGGTGGTGAGTTTGATAGTTTTTGTGGCACACTAAACAAAATTCTTTTTTGCCGCATTCATATTTAAACTTTTTTTATTATTGGTTTGATTTTTTTCCCCAGATTATTAGCCCTAGATCTGGCTATTTTTTTGTAAGGTGAAGAGGTTAAAATGGCTGAAGTCATTTGATTACGTGTTGTTTTTTTAAATATTGTTGGATGGCGACTAATAATTTGTGGAGCAAATCAAAATCTTTTTCCACGTGAGAAGATGATGGAACAGGACTATCACTGACAGATGGTTGCAAAATAATTTCAGATAAATTTAAATTCTCATTAGGATCGTTATTATTATTATAATATAAAGGATTCTAATTTTCGTCATTAAAAATTAAAGGATTTAGGGGCCACATACCTGAGGATTCAAAACCCTTTTGGATATTTGAAGCTGAGGTGGCTTTTGGAAGGACATCCTTTACTACTCCAGGGATATCATATATAGTAAAACTTTTCCCTGGATGCATTCTCATCCAAGCATCCAAGACACTGTTGTAATATTTTTTTAGAGGTCCAAAAACAGTTCTATCCAATGGTTGGAGTTTGTGAGTGCAATGGGGAGGGAGAGTCAATAGAACTATACCACTGTCAGAGCACAGCTCAATGACTTCAATAGATTGGTGAGATTTTTGATTATCTAATATAAGCAAAACTTTTTTATCTTGACTGGGCTTAGTGTATTTTATAAAATGATTTAAAAAATATATAAAATCATCTCCCAGCATCCATCCAGAACCATTGGACACACCAATGCATCCTACAGGGCCATCTCTTAAATAATGATCATAGAATTTTTTCCTGGGATATATAAACATAGGTGGAATAGAATTTCCTAAAGCATTGACAGCAATTGCCAAGGTCATAAGTGTACCACGTTCTGATGTAGTAATTGCCCCAACCTGTTTTTCGCATTTCCTTGCAATAACTTTATTAGGCCGTTGAACTGTTAATAATCCTATGAAAATATTAAAGATTTGCTATCATATATATTATAATTTACCAGTTTCATCCATATTATATATATCATGGTAGAAAGTTATGTTCCCTTGTGACAGTCAAATAATTATTAAAAAATAAATCAACCATTTTCATATTGAAATTGGTAGCCCTGGCTATACTTGTAGCCTCTGGTGTTCTCAAAGAAATAGTTGGATTTCTTTTAATAAATGCTCCAAACCAGTCTTCACAGCTGATTGAGTTATTTCCCAAGATTTTGGTACTTGTAAACTATACCTCTTGGCCATTTGATAAGCTAAAACTCTAACCTAAATTTAAACATAAGACATTAAATTATTTATATATTAAGGCAATCTAATTAAAATCCTAATTCTTAAATTTTATTCTGAATTTATTTTATAATTAATATAATAAAATATATCATACATAATTAAACCTCTAATGTATAGGTAAGAACCAAAATATGTTTTAATGCATGATATAATTTAATGCTAAATCAATGAATAAATCATTTTAAAATTAATATACATGGCAGCATCATTTTATTTTAAATATATATCATACACACATAATTAAATCTTTAATATATAGGTAAGATATGATTTAATGCATGATATAATATATATAATCAATGAATAAATCATTTTAAAATTAATATTAATACATGGTAGCATCATTTTAAAATTAATATATATACATGGCAGTATCATTTTAAAATTAATATATATACATGGCAGCATCATTTTATACATAAATGGCAGCATATTTTTATTTACATATATATCATACACACTTAAATAAATATCATTCTAATGTATAAGTTAAATTCTTACTTTAAAGTATTTTAAAATTAATAAAGATGTTTTATTAATAAATAATGTAAATAATTTTAAAAAATTTTCTCAAGTTTATTATTATTTAACTAAAGAAATACCATGGCATAAATTTAAAGATTATAAAAAAATTCATTTTACAGAGATATATGATATAAAAAAGGATTAAAATACTTGTTTAGGGCATAATCCTGAAAATAATCTTGATCCTTTAATTAAATAATCTGTTAATTTAGCTTCAATAGGAGAAAATACTGATCTGTGAAGATATCGCTCTTGAAAATCTTCCTTCCTTTTGAACAATTTATTATACCTCTTAATGCTTAGTTTCTTAAATATATACTAATTTAAATATATAAATCCTCCCATAACTTAAATTCGTATTCATGGTTATAACTGTCAAAGGTATCTTATCTTTCAGCATTTGAAGAATACTTGCCTTTTGATTATCATTATTTTATTAGTTAGTTTTTCTAATATATGTTCGAACCATTTTACAAAATCAGAACCAATATTTTAATGAATGTATGTAAAAGGAAAAGACGCACCCCGCTAATACCTTCCCCAGGTCCACAGGATCATTTAAAAATTAAATTTAGAATATTAAATTAACATAATGATTGTCAATATTTTTATATATGATAAAATGGAGATTTTTTTATCATTTAGAATTTATATTAAGTCTTAACAACTTTAAAAAAAGTTATTCGTGAAAATGTAAAATTTAAAAAAGTTACTTTGGGTATGTTGAAACTTAAATTTGCATTTAAAATTTTTCATGAGCAATTTTGTCCGAAACAATTTTGGACCTACTCAAGCACCTTATTACATTACATATTTGGCTTAAATTTCAAATTTCAAATCTTAAACTTTATTAATTTTTAAATTATTTGAGAAGGAGAGGGCAAAGAAGAAACTAATTAAAAGGATTTTTGATATATTATTTAATTAAGAAAGTGTAATAAAAAATATTATATTGCATTGTTATTATTCATTGAAGGGCCTTTATATTATTTTAATCAAAATATAAATGTTTATTTTACTTGGGGTGGAGATTTATGTTTACTTTATCAATCGCCAAGTTGTGTAACAGTGGACAAGTTTTCATAATTCATTCACTATTGGTAACATTAACTTACCTCTATAAGGTTTCTTAATATAATATTTGATTACACACCTCCATCTGATACACAGCTATATCAATTACTATAAATCTATCCTTACCTTCTACTAATGCTTGTAATATCATGGAGAAATATTGTTTATAATTGTAATATATGCTCCCAGATTTTGAAGGATTTTTAATCTCAATGTGCTTGCCATCAATAACACAATTTGGAAAGCTTCAAGACTAATTAAATTGATCAGCAATTATTTTGAAGTCATTTAAATTAGGTGATTTCAAATGGATATATTTATATTGTCATTTTTATTGTCGCAACTACTATGAATGTTATGTCGCTTACGACACATCAGCTGCTCTGTCGTTTAATGTAATGTCGTATTTGTCATGTCGCTGTCGCTCTCTACTGTGAATACACCCAAATGGTTGCAGCCTCGCGCATTTAATATTACCCTACTTCAGTTAATTTGTTTTTAAACTTTGCATATAATAGCATTTATATTGTATACATACTGTAGCATTGCTATAGAGAATTCGCTCATACTCGGTTTTTAAGCATTATTGGTACTGGATAGTGATGGTAACTAATGGAGTCAAACATCCCCTTCCTTAGTCAATATTTGCTATTTCCCAGTAACCTTAATAATTGGTTTAAAGTTCATTAATTAAAAAAATTTGTTGACTCCTGTCGAAGTTCACTATAAATAACAATTTTAAATTGGTGTTTTTTTTTGAATTAAACATATATATATATAATACCTTTTAATTTAAAATAAATATTTCTATATAATATTTGTTTTAAGAATCGACCAACGGAAGTGAAAAATGCTTTAATTAGGAGACATTTTACCGAGTTAACTCAAAGCTTCATGATACCATTGGTAAACCTCCATACATTTTGACAATGTTCTAAATTATCATTTTCTGTCGTTATTTCTTGAATAGTATGGACTTTACCATTTGTTTATGGCTATGATTCAACTTAAGAAAATTGCTGTTACAACGGCTGATTTATTTAAATTTCAATTTGTCTATTTATTTAAGACACGTCCCCGGTCAGATATGACAAGTTAAATAAAAAAATATATCTTAACTAACCCATACTCTCAAACTTTTAAAATGATCCTAACCCATATCTTAAATCTCTATTCCTACTTTTTTCATTTTTAATATATTTCATCCAATTCCTTCAGTTCAACCATTCCTTGAAAAAAATATTTTTCGACCATAAGCCGCTAGTTTAGCATTTTCATATCGTTTAAGACTACTAAAAAACAAGAGCCAATTATCTCAATTTTAGGCATGAGCTTGAATTTGAAAATATTTTAAGGTATTTTTGATTATTGACGGCGTTTACCGGAGCACACCTTTGCTCTTTTCTAGCGATTAGAGACATCAATGGCCATTTATAAAACTACCAATATTTTATAATAATCGATTGTGCATTCTTTATTTATTTTATTTTTTAATAATAGGAAAGATACATAGCCAGCCTATTACCTCTTTTCGACGATATATCACCATTCAAAGTTTATATTTGTTTTGTACATCGATTTCTCTAAATTATTAAATTATATGAAAATTGCTTTTATATAAAATGTACCCATTTTCTTTAAATGGGTTGTGATACCCCCCCCCCTCCCCCCCTCCTCAACAATAAAATGTTGATTCTTATATATTTGCACAAATAAAAATGAGATTAGTACCTCCTTATAAACGACATGCTTATATTAAAAGAAATTGACCATTTTTTTTGAATCGGTGAAATTATTTAACATGTCATTCGATAGCATTTAAAATAAAAATTTTCCAAGAAGCGAAGTATGAATTATTTAAAAAACAGATTTTCCTTTTAATGTCAAATATAACTGGAACGCGTATAAAATATTTAAACTAACCTAAATTGACAATGTCTACACACATATTAATCTTCTGTAGACGCCATTTTGTGGTCGGCGCGTTTACTGGTGACGTTGATATCGGTTTCAGCATATAATTACAATTTTAACCTAAAACTGTATTTAAATCAAATTATATAATAAAATCAAATAAAAATAATGTAAAATATGCCTATTAATGGAACATGCATTAATTTTTTTATATAATGTATTTTATGAATAAAATATTTTTAAATTAGCAATATTTAATTGAATAAAAAGTATTTTATCATAATTGTTTAATATCAATATTTAATATTTGGCCCATTTATGATAATTTAATACAGTTTAGAGTATAATAATTTATAATTTAAAAGATTATGTTAATGTTAAAAAAAATTAAATTAATATTTTTTTTGCATTAACTCTAACTAAATTAATATTTATAGACTGCATTCTGAAATAATAAATATTTATTGGGCAAAAAATCGAAAAAATTAATTTCAGGATTACCACAACTTATAATAAATAAATACAAAATATGATTTTTGAAAAAATCAGATGTAATAAAATGTTTTTTAAAATTTTATTTGTAAAAACGAAAACGAATAATTAATGATAGACACACGATTTAATTTTTTTAGTATCGCTCTCGACTAAAAGTATCGAATTTTTATCAAAACAAAACTAAACTCCAAGCTAATTTTTTTAGATCAAGAGTATATATCAGGGTTGGGTTCTTTCAAATGATTCGGTGAATTGACCGATATTTGACTGGTCAAATTCAATCAAATGTTTTTATGATACAGTATTCACTTTATTGGGTATATTAACATATATACAAAAAATATTCATAAATAAATGCATTAAATTTGGTTATATTTTGATTGATTCTTGTAATATTCTTTTTCATTTTCGCATATTTGTTTTCTGGTTTCAATTGAATAATCATTTTTTTTTAATTAATCGTAAATTATGATAAACGCTAACGAATATTCTTGTAGTCAAAATTAATCGATTTCGGTTCTTTATATGAATATTACCTCAGTTGAACTCATTTCTTTCTGAAGAAGTTCTTGGAAGGGTTGTAAGATATTTGCCTTAACCCTTTTCGGTTCCAATTTTTTTTAGTATATTTAAAAATTTTTTTTATTGATAATTGCATAAATATATATATTGCGTCAAAAATTAAAAAAAGATACATTGTATATATGAATAGGTGGTAATTTCTATATGTATTGTCAGGCTTGAAACGTCATAAAGCAATTCTCTTTAGTGCTTAAACGTAAAAGAACATAACATGTAGAGTGCATTGATGTTATATGGGGAATACCCAAGTACTACTGTGTGCACAGCGTCTGGATTTGTTTACAGAAGTGCTGAATTTTTATAGCTATTTGTAGGTAAAACATAGAGGCTGTTCCTTTATTTTTCAAATATAGCACCCTGACATTTCTTTGAAACTGGAAGCTTATCTTTGCTTTTAAAGATTTTAACAGATATAATATCTCTGCAAAATTCTTTGTAACAATCAATTTTTTCGTGAACAACTTTATTAATAATGTATGAGTTTACAAGAGCGGCATTAATAAAATAAATAGTAAACGATGATATGGACACAAATATATTTTTTTTTCAAATTTTTTTACGTGATATTTATTTAAGTGATTATCAATAAAAATTTCAAAAATATACTCAAAAAAATTGGAACCGGAAAGGGCAAATTTGTATTTGTTGAATACATTGAAGCCCACCTAGTTAAGTACCTAAAGTAGACATGACATTTTGATTTCTATAGCGGGAAAATACTGAACTTGGTATATGTAAATTTTTTAAAAATTGGACGTATGTAAATTAAATAATTACTCGTTCATTATATTAAGAAAAACAATTGTAATGTGGACGTGGTACATTACTTTTATTAAGGTTTTATTTCTTCAAATTATATTTTTAAAATTTCTGAGAAATATAATCTGCAGCATGGCAATTTTCGTGTATATTTAAAAACTTCGGGAACCGGTGTCATTGCCATAAATTTTATTTTGCCTTCATTTAGGATATTGTATCACCCATCCGAAACATTAGATTAACTGGATTTAACTTCACTTCTATATTTTCAAAAATTTTATCTTATATTTATCTCGCAAACAAAACAAAACTATATATTATAGTATTAGTATGTATGTATGTCTATGTATGTATAATATTTTTGGGTGGTTTTTTTGGTTTCATATAATATTTTATTAATACCAAGATAAAATCAGAAACTGCATTTTTTTTACTGTATTGCAATGACAAGACTGGGTAAGCTATTATAAACGTTTATTCTATAATTAAAAAAAACCTTTATATATGTATTTTCGGTGATACGTAACAGTAAATTGCTTAAAATATTTTAGAGTATTGACCGGTCAATTGACCAGCTTGCCAACCCTGGTGTTTATACAAATATTTAACAAATTCTCTTACGTTTTTTTTGTTTATATATTATTTTTTAAAGAAATGGACGGATATCGGAAAATTTAACGAAGAAAATTTTTTGAAGACCATCAAACAAAACGGTCCACATCTCACTTCCCATTTAAAGGGAGATTGGGAAGGACTTTACAGGTTATGACAAAAAAATTTTTTTTTAGCAATTTTTCTTAAAATTTGTCTAAATTATTATTTTTTAAAAATAAAATACCCCCCCCCCCCTCTCTTTACCCATAATTAATTATTCAAAATGGTTGAAATAATTTATTTATGCATTCTTAGCTTTTAACTTCCGAGACTAGCGGACGCCCACCTATACGTCATTTTTGAATTGAGATTGCGATATTTTTGTTTGAGATCGTTTATTATAATTTTTTTCCCCCTTATTAATATATATATATATATAATGTTTTTAAATTTGAACCCTCGTTTTATTCATCTTATCTTGCCAATGCATTCAATTTACTTAATCAGCCCTATACGTTTATTTAACTGAAATAATTATCTTAAGACAATTGGCTCAATGAATCGATAGTTCATCAAATTGTCTGAAATTTATAAGATAGCAATTCTATGAATACCGTGGAATATATTTTTTGGCAAAAGCTTATTAAAATATAAAGAAAAAAAGCTTTCAAAAGAATCAATGATTATGTCTATTTACCAACTTTTAATAATTTAATTTAGTGCATTTTTTTTCTAAATTTTGATAATATAGTTTTTCCCAGAAATGTAGTCCAAGTGTTGTCTTAGAAAACTCTTGATGATCTACAAATTTTTAAGCTCCACCCGGATGTTCCAGAAAAATCCGACCTTAAATATAAATTATTTATTCAACCCGGCCCGAATTTATTTAAATATAGAAATTATAATTGAGTTTTTGATCATTCTACACAGTGCTGTTAATCGGCCCGATTAAGATTTTAGCCACAATTAATATTAAAATAGAGGTCCAAACCTTTTATGCCATCTTTAAGCAAAATTTTCAGGCATACATAATATTATCTCTTGGCTAAAATCGTATCGGGCCCTTTTTAAAAAATTGACCCAAATCGCCTTTTAACAACACTAATTCTACAAATAGATTTTAAAAAACAAAATTATTGGCACCTTGTTTCTTAAATATATTTATAAATTTTATTTTCAAAATTCTCTTTTGCAGATTTCTAAAAACTATTATACAAATTTCAGCCAATTATATAAGATATTGCACATTTAATTTAATTTTAAAATGTGGTTTTTACTAAGTCGGAGAATTTAGTTAATTTGTTATGATTTTTTTAAAAAAAATCTCAAATAATTAAAATTGAAGTGTCATTTACTCCCCCCCCCCTCCTCTGCATATTTTAATTTTAGAAAGTATTTTTTGTCTCCCAATTTTGCAAACTGGTGCGATACTAGGGTGCTCGAATTGAAGCGAAAAGTGGAAATTATTTTGTCACAAAAGCTACAGGATGTTGATTTTCACGCGTTGTACGCATATAAAACGGAAACGGAAATAGTCGATGTTATAATTAACCTAAGAGATAAATTGGTTTATATTTAAATTATATTTTATTAACATTATTTGCTTAAAATTTTTCGTCTGTTTTTTTTTTAAATGAAATCAATTATATTAGGAGATATCTTAACAATGAGGTCAAGATGGATACTAATCATGCTTACTATATTTAATTTGAGTTCTTTTAGAATATTCTGTTTTGAGCAATGAACATGCTCTATGTAAAAATATGCTTTGTTTAGCTGACCTAATGGGCAAATTTATATGTGAGCGGTTATTGGAACATATTGGTTCTATTTATTTGCTTGATTTTGGAATATTGGAGAGTGTCGCGTTTACGATAGCCTAATGCTGCGTTCACAATTGTGCGCTATACAAACGAATTAACGGCTGATCGAGTTATAATAATTTTTAAATTATCGTCATGATTGTAAAGAAAAGTTGGGATAATTAATTCAAGATTTGACAAACTCCATCAGCTTTTAAAACCCGCTGAATCCGGGCCTAAATTATAAGAAGCAACGACACACGCTACTGAATAAATTCGTTATTATCGTTTGTAGATTTTAAATAAAATTATATATATTTTTAAAAAGAAACGATATCTCAAGTCTGACCCGACAGTCTTTCACAAAACGATAATTTTTTTAGAATCTCAAATAAAGGGACTTATTGATCAACTACCTCAGGATTTACAAATTTCGATAAAATAAATAAATTAACAATTTATTTTTTTATAAGTTATATATAAGTTAGATTTATATCAAAAATACGATATTTATAGATGTTATTTATATTATTTATTATAAATCATGTAGATAATTTATATAATTTTGAATCAGGGAAATAAAGAGGTTTTTGTATATTTTCTAACTAATAAATTCCTAAAAAAATGATAAGTGGGTTATGCGCATTTTGAGCATGAAATTGCTTGGATTTTAAAGCTAAATAAATATGGGTAGAGGCTTGGATGTTGGAATTTGGTTAAGTTTTAATATATTTATTGTAAGTTAGAAAGTGTATACATTTTGAAATGTATAATTTTTTTAAAATCTATTTTAAAAACTATCATTATTAAGTATAGTATTAATGTTTGATGCCCTAATTAGGGAAATTTGGTTAAGTTTTAATATATTTAATGTAAGTTAGAAAGTGTATACATTTTGAAATGTATAATTTTTTTTAAATCTATTTTAAAAACTATCATTATTAAGTATAGTATTAATGTTTGATGCCCTAATTAGGAAAATTATGGGAGCAGTACCTCTTTCAAAAAATTTTGATAATTTACAGTAATTTATTCTCTTTTATAAAAGTTTTTTTTTTAGCTTTTTTCACTTATGCAATCTATCACTATCTATTAACTTTAAACTTCCCTATAAGCAATCATAAAATATTTTTGTTTACCTTATTTTCCACACCTGTTTAAAGCATATTTTAATTTCCTTTAATCACTATAGTGTCTTCCTATTAGTTTTCTGTCTAATTCATACATCTATTTTAACACACATTTTTAATTCTTCCTTATGTTATAACAAAGGATTTCTTGGTAAAATTTATTAAATATAAAAAAAAATATTTAAATAAGTTCTTGAAACTTTATACAACTAATAATAACCAAAAGTCCTAGGAAAGACATATAAATTATCTATAACCAATTTTCGTGATGTTTTATCTTTCTTTCATTTGAATTTATGATGTTAATATATATTTTTTTTTAATCCTTATTTGTAGATGTGGAGCGACCTAAAATTTTGAAAATCTCTTCCTCAATTTCCATTCACGATTGAATAATATAATATTGCAAACGTTTAAGATTTATAGTTTTTTTTATGACCCGGATCATTAGCTACATTTAAATTTCTCAAATTATAAGATATGACTATTAATTTTTGAAAATAAAAATACTCTATGGATTAGTCAAATATTTTGGGATTATTAAAATTAATAATAAATGGAATATCGCAGTATAGCTTTGAAAAATATGATAACTATTTAATTACTTGTACTATAAGTTATAAAAGTTAAAATAAATAATTTTCATATAATTTTAATTAATAAAGCTTTTCGAAATATTTTAAAGATATTTTAGAATTTTTTTCGTAATTTTAAAAGTTAAAATTTACCGCCAACCGATGTCATTTATATACAAAATGTGTCGTATCCATTGTATCTTTTGGACAAGGTTCATATAATATTTTTTTGGCGAAATTCAGGTACTTAACAATAAATAATACTATATCCATCTATAACCCCAAAGAATGATAAATTATATTATTTATCTAAAATATCTAAGTAATTGTCAATATAATATAAAAATTAATAGTGTATCTCTATCTTACTTTATCTAAATCCAACCATCGCACATTTATGCATCCTCCATTTATTTTTATGTGTGGGAAGAATATTAAGTAACATTTGATTTACGGTTTCCCTTGCTCTCAAAAAGTAACTTATTTTTGGATGTACAGGATGCTATTTTGAAACCACAGACATGTTTGTTCTAATCTACTTTTTTGGTGTTTCATAATGTTTACATCAAAAGTCATGCTCCTTATTTCTCTTTAGGTTATATCTGAACAACATTATATCTAACCTACCTGTGATTCATATACCTTTCGATTCGAAGTGTTTTACGTTTTTATTATAATGTTACAGTTGATTTGCATAATCAATCAATAAGCGTGTTTATAAATAAATTGACATTTGCAATATCATACAAATTTGAATACATTTTTCGATAAAATAGCTTATTATGATTTAAAGTTGGTAAATAGCACAATCATTTGTTGACAACGTTTTTATACATTTTAAAAATCTGATTTTATCGTTTCGACCCATTTTTAGTGAAAATACATGAATTGATTAAGATATTATTCCATTCATACGCATAATGAGATTATTTTATATTCAAACCTCGAAACTATTAACTATAATGAATGCGTGTAAGTAAACCCTATTCGAATTTCAATTTAACGCTCCATTTTCCTGTTGATCTCTAATTATGTTTATCAATTCTCATGTGTTTTTTAAAACTTTTCATTATCGGACTCATTTCTGGTATACCATATTATATCCTTTTTTAAAATTATCTTCGCTTTTAAATATATATACTCTTAATGTTCACCATGAAATGAACTCATATACCCTATCGCTCCATTTACAAAATTATCCTATTCTATATTTATCATTTACAAAGAATATTAAAGAGAGAAAAACTTGGAAGGAATTGCGAGCAGGAAAGGGAAAAGTGATTGTGGTAATGAAAAGAAGTATGCTGAGATGGTTTGGGCATGTAGAACCTAAGAAAGATGATTGAGAAAGAGATGCACCTTGATGGGAGTAGTGTGATCAAAACCTCGAGGAAGGCCTAAAATGACGGGGATAAATGTGATAGCGGCGGATATTAAAAAAATGATTTCTTGCAAATATTGATGCTCAGGACCGTCAAAAATGGATAAGAAAAATCAGAGGGAAAATTGAGTAAACCTGGAAATCGCCAATAAACGGAAAAGAATTAAATTAGGCATCGATATAGATTATTCATTATTTGTATGTAATTAAAAATCTTTAAATAAATTTACACAACGAATTTTTAGAAATTGTAAAAATGTATTAATCAGTAGTGTTGTTAAGCGGCTCAATTTGAGCCTATTTCGGCTAACCCAATATTTTATTCAGAAAAATATTACGCAAGCCTAGATATTTTGCTAATATATAACACATAGGATTAAACATCTATTGGCGAAATCTCGACGTTTAGGTTATATTTTCCTGGTAATAATGTTTAGTTAGCCGTTTTAAAAAATCGGCTCAAATCGAGCCGCTTAACAACACTATTAATCAGTTACATATTTCGAATCGGGAATCTTTTAAGTTTATTTTATCTAACTAGAAATGAATACAGGGGAAATAGTTTATAAGGCGTTTCTAACAACCGATAATATATTATAACAGAAAAACTACGTAAAATATCAAAATTAACAAGTTACTAAATGATATTGATAACAGTTCAAAACGGATATTTTTAACAAAGTACACTGGTGCTTTCCAGATAAGGGCCATTGGAGCTAACTATCTTTGGCAGTTTGTTTAGCATAATAGCAAAATTCCCAATGAAATTAAATACTCATAAATATAAACTTACAGCTTACATAAATATATTTTAATTTTTACACCTCATTTTCAAGGCATGGAATATATATATACCACATATATTTTTATAAAATAACTATAATTTTAAAAAAATATATTACGAAAAACATTATTTATAGAGAAAACAAAGTTAATCATTTATATTGAGATGTAAAATTATCTAGACATAACGCGTCACATCGCTTATACATGATTTCATTATAATTAATAAATAATGTAAAATATTGGTATATATTATATTACTAATTATGTAAATATAAATTTATATCTTCCGACTTATGCACACTTTTCCAACCCTAAATAATATGAGTGGACATGAAAGGTAAAGATGATGGTGGCTTCGGTAAAAAATCATTACTTAGTACTTCTCACAAAAATATAGGCAAGGGACAATCGCAAATAGATTCCAGTGATAAAGAAATTGAATGTTACACAAATGTACCCTGGTTAGATCCCAAGCCATGTAAAATTCAAGAATTCACCTATTATTTTTGGGACGGTCAAAATATGCACTACTATCTAAAAAGTCAAAAATCTTGGTGGTGGTACGATTATCAACACAATAAATGGATACGGGATCATTATACGAGTATGGAAAGAATGTTGAATGCTGACCAGGGTTCTCCTACGCCAACATTTGGTTCCTCTGATGATCACAGCAAAAGAATCATCGATATAAATGTTGGGAAAGAGCATCATTCTAAATCATCCACCAACGAGGAAAAAGAACTCGATAAAAAAGGAAAAGTAGCCAATTTTATAAAGAAATATGAAGTGAGTAATCTGAAGACTAGTCACAATATTCCTGCCAGCGGTCGACGTCAATCTGTCGGCTCATCTAAATCTTCCTCATCTGATCTTAGAATTCGAAGCTCGATTAACAATCTAGATTTCAACATCGTGGAAGGCAAATCGAGGGAAAATTTGTTTGATACTAAAACCCACGGCTATAATGACAACCTAAAAAATAGAGTAGCATCAGGATATAAAAAATCGAACTCCATCGTAAACGTGAATTATGCCGACCAAAGTATCAAAATTTCGAAAACCGGTAAAAACTATAAAAGTATACTAATCAAATCTTCTTTTAAGGACCAATCAGGTTTAAATTACAATCATTCAACCAAGGTTTTAAAATGGGACGATAAAGTCAAGACTTATAATTACGAACCTATCGGCGACAATGTGTCACCCACTCCTTTATTGATCAAAGATGTTCACCCTAATTTGCTGAAAGATACCGGCTATACATTGGAAGATTATTCGAAGTATTACTGGGAAAGTAATTGTCCGCAATTTGTTCCATACCATCTTCACCCACTGTCCCTTAATTACCCTCAGAATTTACATGTCATGCAGCATAACCTTTATAATTTTCAACAGAATAGCAATACCCTGCAGCCCACAATGAGCCACCCAAATTTAAATTTTTATTCTAGTGGCGCATCTAACAGGAATGACCCGGCCAAAAATATCCAGATGTACCCATCAACTTCCTCCTCACAAGATAAACGAAAAGGTTAAGCGATAAAAGTTTAATATATGATGTTCCAGTAAATGCGGGAAGTGAATTATAACCCCTAAGTGTAGTGTTTTAATGATTTTGTAAATGATGTTTTATATAACATTTGTTTTTTTTAAATAAAAGTTTGCGATAATGATTCAATCTTGAAAAACAAAAAAAAACAGAGGCTTCTATTTTCCTAAATTATAAAAATTTTATGAAGTTAACTAGGCCTATTCAAAAACGAATTGTTGAAAAATATAATTCAATACTAATAGTATATTTTAATATTCGTTACGAATTATACGAATACTAAATTATTCAATTTTATTAGAAAGAATCGATTGCGAATATTTCATTATTCGATTTGAATTCGCCTTTGAATAGACCTATAAACTCCTTGGGTAAAACATCATGACATATAAAAAAATATGTGATTAATTTTAAAAGTATAATTATCTATGAATAGGCCTATTCAAAAACGAATTCGAATCGAATAGTGCAAACGAATCGAATAATTTACCATTTGAATACGAATAATAACTACTATTTGTATTTTTTTTAATAAAATAAATCATACTAAAATATATTTACATATTTTTTTATTACAAATTTGATTTTAAACAGAAAAAATTATAATAATATGTAATCAATAATCTGATAATAAATAATATATAATCAAGTTATAAACAAAATTAAAATGTATATTATTAATTTATTTTATAATTTAAGCCAATTTTTAAGGCAAAGAGTTTTTCTTTTATTTTCTTCCTTATATGACATGCGGTTTTTTGACAATAAATTAGTTCCAACTGAGAAAAGCCTTTCACAAGCAGTTGATGTTCCTTGTATAGATAGATAATCCCTTGCCATTTTCGAGAGCATGGGGATCCGATATGCATTTGCCTTCCACCACATACGAATCATTTTAATAATGTTTCTTAGTTTTAGAATTGAAGGATCTAAAATTTTTAAAATTTCTTTGGATATTAAATTAATTACATGGGCAAAGTATCGGATGTGCCCTATTTTTATTAATGGATATTTTAAAGAAAATGTATCAATAAATGTTTTATTATTAGTTGCATTATCTAAAAGTTATATAAAAATTTTTATTCTCTAAATTATAAATTTTAATTATTTTAACAAAGGCTTTAAATATATTTTCACCTGAATGTGTTTCATTAATTGGACTGACATCCAAAATTATATTATTTATTTTAAAATTATCATCAATAAAATGGGCTGTTAGCCTTAAAAAAGGAACCTGTGTTGCTAGTCCAAATGTCAGATGAAAAATTAAACTGACTTTTATTTTTATATATTTTTCCTTTACCAACTGTTCTTTATCTGCAAATATATTATACATGTATTTAAAAGTATTGGAGCATAATGATTTTACAGAACAATCAAGATCACTTATAAAATTTTTAAAATCATTTGAATTAATAATTTTAAAAGGTATATTATTATTTATCAATAATTTTAATAAATTATCCTTAAAATTAATTTTTTTTGAAGAATTTGGTGTAGACTTTAAAAAAATGTCAATTTCATTATTTTTTTTACTAAGGTGTGAATGAAACCTATTATAATGATTAATAAGAGGAGAGGTTGTTTTGCCTTTACATTATATAATACTCTTGCAATGATTGCAAGAAGCCTTTTCACCTTCTTTAAGGATTTGATATTAATCCCATATGATTGCTCTCTTTTGTGAGGAAATTTTCTCTCTTCAACATCAAGCATAATTTCATCAGAAGCATTCTCCTCTAACATAATTAGGTTAGCTAACAATAATTATTGTTAGAGATGTAATATATTTTTATATACCTCTGGGTTGTTAAATTTTTAATATAATTTATTATGAGATTCAAAAAATAAACTTTTTGTGAGATTCAAAAAATGTGGCAAATAAAAATTTAAATTTTCACTTCAGAAATTTTTAAATTTGTGCTAGAATCTTTATAAACACAAACACATCACCTGTCAGATTGGCAGGTCAACAAATAGAAATGACAAATGTTAGATTTATTAAACTATTTATTAAATATTACGAATAATTCGTTTTATTCGAATAATTCGTTTTATTCGAATAATTCGTTTTATTCGAATAATTCGTTTTATTCAAATCGAATAAATGATTATTCGTATTCAGATAAAACAAATAATTTATTATTCGTATTCGTAATTATTCGATTAGATTCGAATTATTCGAATCGAATATTCGAATTATTTTTGAATAGGCCTATCTATGAATAAAGAAATGATACTAACTCAATTAAATCTCGACAATGCTTCGCATTTATCTAAAAAAATATTTAAGGATTTTCTTTCTCCCTAGTTCTATATATGGCTTAAAATAGAAAATTTATAATATCCCTAATCTCTGATGGGTTTATCTCGTATTGTTTCATCCATAAAATAGGGTATATTCTTAATTTCTTTTGAAAAGCTGTTTATGATTTCTTTGAAAAATTAATGTTTTTCTTTTTCAGAATTTTTGTTACCCTGATAGCCTCATTAAAAAGTTTAAAATTTGTTTTGGTAGGAGAGGCCGGGGATATGTAGAGTAAAAAGAAAGAGCGTCTATGGCTATCTTTTTTTTTAATTTTTATTGCTAATTGTTTTAAATTTGGTCAAATTTCTATACATACCATCTATCATATTTTTATTTAGGAGTGGGAGATCCGTATTCAATAGAAATATTTTGTTTTGAGTTAAAAGTACTCTGTTAAATTTTAAGAAACCTAAAGAATATATTTCTGTCAACGCCACCGAATATACTTGGTCAAATTTCTAGATTATCTAAAATAATTGTTTGAGCAATTTAAGCTAACTCGCTACCCCCTAGGGATATACGGCAAGGGATAAAATGGCAAATTTGTATTTTCCAGAGTAACGATTTCTACAAAATATTTTTAGTGGCTTTTCTATATGTGGAATCTATTAAGAAACATTAATATTTACAGATTATATTAGTAATGATGATTCTAGAGTGAAACCATTATGTTTGACGTTATTTCTACCCAAAACGCTGATTTCTTTCTTTCTGTCTTTCTCTTTCTTTCTTTCTTTCTTTCTTTCTTTCTTTCTTTCTTTCTTTCTTTCTTTCTTTCTTTCTTTCTTTCTTTCTTTCTTTCTTTCTTTCTTTCTTTCTTTCTTTCTTTCTTTCTTTCTTTCTTTCTTCTCCTCATTGAAATAAAGTGAGATAGAGATGAGGAAATAGGGATGAAAGAAAAGTAGGAAGGGTATGGTCTTTCAACTAATTTTGAATTAATTTCCTATTTTTGCTAAATATATATATAGGAGTAGGTAAAAAAAGGGAAGATTTTTGGGGAGAGGGCAAAATTTTTAGAAATGTAATATTGTCATTCGGTTGAAAGTGTAGATTTGATATAATACACTAAATGTCCTGATTAGGCATATTCTATCTATATCAGGAAATCCATCTTATATGTATCTTTATTGCCAAGGCCAATTTTATTTTATATATATATATATGTATAAACATAACAATTAGAATAAAAAATGTTGTGTTTTATGGGTTAAATTTGATATTGGAAATATTATTCCGAAGTGTGCCATCTTACCCAGGTTCGTTGGTAAATAGATAAAAGCACGACTTTTATTTAATCCTAAATAGCGCCTGGAGTATAAAAGGTAGAAAGTTCAGTGTTTTTTTATATAGTAGTCTAATGATGAGGTTATCTAATAATATAATTAGTTTATTTTTATAAAATAGAGATAAATTATAAAGCAAAAGAGTAAGACATCTGCTATATAACCCCGGTCTCCTCTAAAAAGGAAATTTATTTGATCTTTATTTTTTAATAATTTTATTTTAAAAAACAAGGTTTTTGGAGACCTTAAAACTCAATTAGAAGCTTAGTTGTGTATGTATACAGACACCGCTCTCTTTAAGTCATTAGCGTTCTTACTTTTTAATTATTATTTCTATACCAAATCAAAATTAGCAAAAAAAAGAAAAAATTAAAATCAGTAAGGGATAAAATAGGAAAACCAGATTAATCTAATGATAACGTCCTTCTCTCTGCCTTTTCAATAATGATGAAGTACCCCCCCCCCCTCCCTGTGGTAAAATTGTGTTTGAGCTTAGATGATAAGTAATATATTCATGAAATCTTATTTAAGATTATGATTATATAAGTTGACTATAAGAGTGCCACCTGAGATTTCGCTTATGCATTACCCCCCCCCCCCCCCTGTATTAGAGGACTTTATATCAAACAGAATCCTCAGTATCTCTTTGAACCTAAAATAAAGCTATTCTTATTTTTCTATGGGCTTGAAATTTTTTATAAAAAAAACCGGGTCTTAGTTGATAAGTATAAGTGACTTTTTACATTATAATGAACTTACTTTTTTGGACATTTTGGTCTTAACAAGTCAGTCGGTATGAATCATTCATTTCTTAGATAAGGCTTTTCAGGTGAACAAAGTAACATAATAAATTATATACAATTTACTGGAACTGAAAATCAAAAATTACATCAACAAAAAAAAATGAGGGTAAAATTATATTTAATTAAACGATTCATCAAAATGGAATGCTGAAATATTTATTATTTTAAGTATTCATACAATTTGAATTTTAGTGGATCTATAATTTAAATACAAACTAAAAATAACATCTATATTAATATAAATAAATAAATTAATGTATATAATTTGGAGGAAGCGAGATATTCGTCATCATATCTTGAATTTTTTTATGTTTTGTCCGTTTATTTTGAAACCAATTTTTGATCTAGTGAGAATTAATAAAAAAAAATCTATATATAATTAATAAAACCAAATCCAATAAATATATATCTTATTGCCAAAATACATACATTCATTAACCGAATTGCTTATAAGTTTAAAATTGATGCATAATTTTTTTTTAAATAATATTGAGCAATTTGGAATTATTAAAACGACCACATAAATCGTTTAAAATTGTTAATTATATATTTTTTGTAAATTTTTACGACACAAACCCTTATTGAGTCTATATAACATATTGTTATATTAAATTTCCTATATATTTAGACGAGCTTAAATTTTTTAAAAATTTATTATATTATGTATATATTTTTATTAAAGGTAATAATATACTTGATCTTGCCTACAGCTCAGTGCCAAAGATAAGTCTTTCTTTAATTTGGTGCTTACAAAATGATTTTCCATATATGCCTTTTCTAATGTCCTTTTTTGATATGCCGTGAACTCGAATCGTGAGCGTTTCGGCGTGTAAAAGACTAATTATCATGATTTTAAATATTATTATACTATTTATAAATAAAAAAACTTTCATCGTCGGAAGCAATTTGGAATGACGGAGCGGGAGAAATGACTCTAAAATTTTGTCCTAAATTGACGATTCCATCGTAGATGTTAGAGATATTATTTCTGTCGGTTTGGGTCCATAAGTATTCAGGACTTTTCTTACATTCCACCCTGTTGATAATTTCGTATACATCTCTTAGGTACACCTCGTTGAGCAAGCTGTTATGATGGCAAATATTGTTGCTTCCTTCAGTACTTATATCAAAATAATAAGATAATGGATCTTGTATAGGATTCGGAAGACATTTCGCTAATGAATATAAATTTTTCATAATTTGTTTTAAAATACAAATAGATAGTGTTGTTAGACGACCCTTGATTAAGATTTTAGACATATTGGTAAATAGCGGTCCAAATTTTTCTTACCATCTATGAGCAAAATTTCATAACTTACATAATATTATTTTGGCTAAAGTATTAATCAAGCCGTTATAAAAAACAACCCAAAAATCTTTGAAGATTTATTGATGGATCCCTCAAAAAAAATATAATATATAAAAATATATTGTTTTTTATAATAATAAAAAAAAATGTGAAAAACTTGATTCTTTGAGTTGATCATAGGATTGGCTATGCGATCGGGAGGTGGTATAAGTATCGTAAATAAATTGAAGCATACTTTCTTGTGATAAATCAAATGGGCCAGATTTTGATAAATCAATCATTTTTTTACATGATAATATTTTTTAAAAGATTCCATCATACCGCGATATATATCACCCTAATAATTAAAATATATGATACCTAACTAAAATTTGATTATTTAAAATTTTTTATTAATTCACACAAACCGTTCACAATTGATATAATAATGATAATGGGTTTAATATTAAAGAAAAAACAATATTATTGTATAAAATTGACCACACATAAACCGATCGTTTTATATTCATTTTAATATTTTTTTTCTAAAAGTTTTTAATACTTATTATCTAATATTTGAGTCAATTGAAGGGGTCAAATTTGTAATTTGTTTTTAGTTAGGAATTAGAGGTCTGCAAAGGGTAGGTTTTAGCCCGCCTGATTGGGTCGAGATTGGCGAAGCGGCTAAAAGATTGTAAAAATTAAATGGGCTAAAAATATTTTCAAAACAATTAGCGGGTGAATAATATTTTTATGTGGAAATGGGCAGAACAGACTTCATTTTAAAAAAAAACATTTTCTTTAAATATCATAATATTGAATAATTTATTAGTTTAAATAGAAATTACATTAAAATAAAAGAAATAAAAATCCAAACCAACCAATAGAATAATTTATAAACAATTGGGCGAACGGATTAAAATTTTTTTAGATAAATTAGCGGCTAATGATTTTTAAAAAACCGCTAACTTTTGGGTTAAAACTCCCCAACCTCTAATGTGACTGTAAAAAAAAATATATATAAAAGACAAACTTTTATAAAATATACTTATGTTAGATGTAAAATAAATTTTATATTATAAATACTATAACATTATTAATAAAAAATCATCGGCCGCGTCTTAGTAGAACTTAATTTCTTAATTCTCAATTCTATTCAGAATAACAGCGTAGACGCCATTTTTCATTTTTTTTAAATGATAGGAGAAATTCTTTAAAATATCATAGTTAGCACGAACGAGACCAATTATACATAGCAGGGTAAAAGTGTACTTATTCCTATATCCATAAATCACTTTTATAAAAAAAAAATTTGACAAGCTAGGATGCAGCCTTCGTGTCTGTTGATGACAGGAACAATGTGTAAGCGTACCTTGCCCTTTATAAAGTTTTTTCTGGAACCCTCTGAAATCTTCCAGAAAAATATCAATAGATATCGTCCTAATATTAAAATCCTACATTGTTTTAGAACCTTTCAATTATTAAGAAAAACTACTTCTAAATATATAGTAGAATACTTTTAATTAGCATTTGGGTGTAATACAAATATATTTATAACTTTAAAGATACCTACGGAGGTGTGATTTTAACCATTGTAATTTTCTAATTATTATTATATATCAAAACAAAAATTAAAGCACATTGGAAGAAGGAATTGAAGAATATTAAATCTTAGCTTTTATATTTTATATCAAATATTATACTCTAATAAATAAATATAAAAAATTCGCAATTATCCTATTTACTCTTTCTTCTAATTACTTTAAAGTTTAAAATATCATGAAAAAAATAATAAGAATTAACTTTAACATCTAACATGAAAATAATTCGATTTTAAAATAAACATAGTTTAATGCACAAAGTGATTAAGATTTAAGCCTTAAGGTTAAGAATTTTTTATCTCTTTATTATCTTATAGTTTTAATTATACACATTAATTCTATATATTATTTTTTTTTAAACTTAATTTAAAAGATAATTATTTTTTTTCCTTATACCAAAGTACATTTTTATATTAAAATTAAGGGAATTACCTATTTAAATAAAAAATGAAATTTATACAACCAATGAATTCGAAAAAATTATATGTGATAAGGAGATATTTTTTTTAAAATCCCAGATTGCTTTTATGTTGCAATATTTTTAAAAATGAATTTATTAAGAACTATTCGTAACAGAACTTTGAAATATCTACTTCAAATCAATGTTAAAGATTCCATGAAATTTAGAACTACTTTTAACGTCTGGATAAATTTTACTTTCTTTTCTATATTCTTTTTCTCCGGACTAAATTTGGGCATTCTAACATGGCATTTTTTAAAGCATGATTTCAAAATCTGTCCATTACCATCTCGAGCGGAATCGAATAAAATGGGCATTGCGAAATATTTAATGAAAAGGTCATACCAATATATTGAAGATCCTCCTAATTCTTACCATGTTACAAAACTGGATTCGATCAACATATTGATAGGCATTATGACATCCCAGCAAAACCTCAAAGATAGGGGTTTAAGCATTTTGCGTACGTGGGGCAGCATTTGTAATAAAGAATTAGCCAATAGCACTGATGGGACCGATTCGGGTATCATGATAAGATTTTTTGGAGAGGCCCAACTAGATCCCAGTCACGAATATTGTCTTGATAATAAACTCAGCAATGATAATAATAGCTATACAAATGGTGTCGAGTCCGAAAAATGTGTCATACGTGCAAAGAGTAATTGTTTCGTTAGGCTCAAAGATGCCACAAATGCGAGAGAATATCCTCCAATGATAAAGGCTTTTTCCATGCTGAAATACATGTACCGCCATTACATATTAAAACCTAAAGTACATACTAAGATTGATTGGTTCATAAGAGTAGATGACGACGTTCACGTGAAATTGAAAGAATTAAAACGTTTTTTGTACTCTTTGAATCCGCGGAATCTGTATTACATCGGTCAAATGGGGATAGGGAGAAAGCAAGATGCGGATACCATAAATTTATTTAAAAGAGACATTAACACTAAAAAAACTCGTTCTGAAGCACAAAATTTTTGCATGGGAGGAACAGGGATAATATTTAGTAGGGGTGTTCTCGAAAAGATGGGTCCTTATATCGATGAATGCTTGAAAAATACTGTGTCTATTCACGACGATGTCGAAATCTCTAGGTGCATTCATATGCAAGTTGGAGATTTAGATTGCGTTTTGGCATATGAGGTAATTACACATATATATATATATATGTTAGCGGTAATGATATGTGTCATATTGAAAGGAGATTCAGAAAGTCTCAATTTCAAATCATATACTAAGGGCGATTTCAGAGATATTTAAAATCCAATTTTACCAGGAATGTATTCTAGTATGTGTGTAGTATACTTACCTTATAAATATCGGAAAGTTTTCGCCATAAATATTTTTGTATCTTTTTATGAATGTATACAAAATAACTGTAAAAATTGGAGTGATCCTAAGTTCACGGTAAAATCTTTTGATTTGGTACTAACAGTGTGGATACCGCTATATATGCTGAAATACATTTTTGGTCGAATCAATTTTTTTTTTAATTTTAAAATCGCTCTCAATAAATAATTTAAAATCGAGTGATTCCTAATTCCCAAATAGAGTTGTATGGCTTGATTTGCGCCGATTTTTAAAAATAGCCAGAAAAATATTGCCTAAGCCTGAAGATTTAGCTTATAGATGTCCTAAAATCTTTGTGTCACCTATGAGCTAGATTTTCAGGCTTGCGTTATATTGAGCTAGCTATTTTAAAAATCAGCTCAAATCGAGCCGTTTAACAACACTTAATCCCCATGGATTGCATATCCAAATGCGACAACATTTATATTATTATATTTTATCATATAATTGTTATATAAATTTTAATATGTCGTAAACCGTAAATAGATTTCGAAATCCATGAAGATTTAGGAATTCAATATTTTATTCATTAACTGAGGACCATTATTAAATATGAAAGATCTTGATTTTATCGGAATCAACATAATATCTACTAGAGATCTGCAAAAGAAGGCCCAGCCCAAACGTGCTTCTGGCCGGGTCTATTTAAAAAAAAAATTGGGTTCGGGCTGGGTCGGGCTTGTAAATTTTTTCAAAAAAATTTGGGTTCGGGCCGGGCAAAACTTTATAAAAAAAATTTCGGGCCGGGCCAGGCGTGAAAAATTAGGCCCTTTCAGATTACTAATATCTACCTTATAAATTTTAAAACCATTTTAGCTTGACCTTTCGTATAATTTTTTTTGTTTTGATAAATCAATTTAATATTAGTATAAACTATAAATTAACTGAAATCGATTAAGCACATTTTTAAATTAAGATTTTAACTAAAAATAATAATACGCAACTCGAGATTTCTTTAATAGATTTCCAAACTTTCTGTTCCGTCATCTATGAGCAAAATCTTCAGGTTTCTGTAATATTTTATTGGTTATAAATATTAGATTAGATATTTTAAAAAAATCGAGCCTTTTAACAACGTTTATACTGAATCTCAATCGTCCTAGTGTTCTTGAACGGCTCGATTTTTTAAAAAAAGATAACTCAATATTTTAACCAGAAAAATATTGTCTAAGCCTCGAGATTTGGCTAATAGATGTCAGAACCTTTGTGCCATTAATAAGTTATATCTTCAGGTTAGCATAATATTTTTCTAAATCTAATATTGAGATAGTCCTTTTTAAAAATCGGCTCATATCGAGGCGTTTAGCAAACTACATTCGATATAATTATGTATATTTTTTAAATTTTTTATGCTTTTAAATAAATTTGCTTTTTGTAGTGATGTTAAAAGACTTGATTTGGTCTATTTTAAATTAAAATTTCAGTTAAAATAATACTACGCAAGCCTCGAGATTTTGTTAAAAGATGTCCAAACCTATCGGCCATCTATGAGCATAATGTATAAGTGTAGTATTTTTTGACGAAGTTTTTTTTAAAAATTAATACTTTTTTAAAAAAAAATTTTTAAAGGCAAAGAACGTGTTTTATAACGATTATTTCCCCGAAAAAAACACTCCGCCTTCGCCTAAAGCAATATTCATTCATCCGTTAAAAACCTCGTTAAAAATGTATCAATCCCACAAAGACTATCTACTTAAGCGCCTACAAAATTTAAGGACCGCTTTGTGGCAAAAAAGCAAAATATATGGGCAGAGTGTCAGCTTTCATTACGGTTCTAAAGATGAAATACCGGTGTACTCACTTATTTCGAAGGTAGGCCAGGTTTTGCATTCGCCTGATATTAAAAACCCGCACATTAATTTGCCCTATTATTGGCGAAATTTTTTTAATTCAGCTATCAACAAATCGATCGAATTTGTGAGGGCGAATAATGACCCCAAAATAAAAGTAAATTTACCAGAAACGCGCGTATACGCGGAATGGCAACCTTTTGCCATTAAAAAACCTTACCTGAATGTGAAAAGCTTTATCGCTGTGAATCACGTATCGCCTTCTTATAAATCGCAGATAAATTTCCACGAATTAAAAATAAATTATCCACTCCAAGAATTCGTGTTCGAAGAAAAACTTGGCCACTCAATCGAACCTTCTAGGAAAACCATAAATTTCATACTTCCTTTTAGTATACGCTATAAAACGTTGAATCGCTTCTTGGATTTGTACGAAAAGGTATGTTTATCCTCAAAATATGACAGCGATATTCAAGAATTTGATACTACTTTAACCATAATAGAGTTTTTGAGTCCCAAGATTTTTTTGAAATTGAACAATTACAGTCATCACTCACGTTTGATTAATCGAATCAATAGTATAAATTCCCTGAATATCAGAAAGAATCAACAAAGGGACGTAATAACATTGAATTTAATTAGGGGACAATTTTCCAGAGCACTTGCCCTTGAATATGGAGCATCCCAGTTTGATCGCGATAATTTATTGCTTTTTCTCGACGTTGATATGATATTTAGCATAGGTTTCCTGAAAAGAGTCCTAGCGTTTACCGTTCAAAATGTCAGTGTTTATTACCCCGTCGTATATAGTCAATACAAAAATAACATTTCTAAGTCATTCATCTCGTCAGACACGGATTATTTTAACGAGGGATTTTGGAACATATACGGGTATGGCATGGTTTCCTTATACAAATCCGATTTTGACAAGACTGACGGGTTCAGTATGGACATCGTAGGTTGGGGTAAAGAGGACGTAGATTTGTATTCTAAAATTATAACCAAATCCAATCTCACTATTTATCGATCAGCTGAACCCGGGTTAATCCACGTGTATCATAAAAGATCTTGCCCTGAAATCCTCGAGTCCGCTCAATATAAAATGTGCATGGATTCCTTGGCCTCTTACCAGGCTAATAAGAGAACCCTAGGGAAAATTATTATAGACAACATTAAATTGTCTTAAATATATTATTTAAAGAAAATTATCTAATATATATACCGGGATAGTCTTCTGTATTTATTTATAAACTTAAATATTTTGAATTTATTGATTCCAGAAATAATAAATAATGAGAATTTTATATATGTACATATATTCTTATTAATATCTCAAATTGACAAAAGAATTTATAGTAAAATTAATTATTTTTGTAATAAATCTAAAAATTGGGAATCAGAAAACAATGATATATCAATTTTTCCAATCCTCAATAAATCCCCTATAGATTAGTAAAATTAGTAAAATTATGGATCTTACATCTATATAATTCGTTAGCTAACGAAAATAATTATTCCTAATAGTATACCCATATTGCTGAAATATTAAGGTTTAACATAGGACTAATATCACCAAAAATAAATTCTCAGAGAAACTATATTTACTAATAAAAATTTGCTAAGAATCAATATTTTTCGAAATTTTTAGAGTATAATTTTTCTTTTAAAATTATATAATATATTTTTTGATTCCCGGAAAACGAAAACTTCTCAGAAAATTAACTACAACAATGCCTCCAAAAATAATCTTAAAAATTGAGAAGAAAAACCGCCATAAAATATCAAACCTAAAATAACATTATGATACATATGGACTAGTGTTGTTAAAGGACTCTTGAGCCGATTTTTAAAAACGGCTGACTCTAGATTTTATCCAGAAAAATATTAAGTAAGTCCTAAGATTATGCTCATATAAGGCATAAAGGTTTGGACATCTATTAGCGAAATTTCATGGTTTAAGCAATATTTTTTTTCTGGCTAAAATATTGATTTTGCTGTATTTTAAAATCGGCTCGAACTATTTAACTAATATGGGCATTGTGAAGTCAAATTTAAAATATTTCTCTGTTAATAAATTGATTAACGAGGGTAAATGAACTAAAAAATATAATTAATTAATATCTAAGCTCAGTCCATCCCAGGAATTAGTAAAATTAAGCAGATACTAATATACCTAGTCGGCATCCATAAAGTAGTAATTTTTTTATTTTCACCTAAACACTATCTGACAGATGAAGCAGCCGGAGCCACCTAGTTTTAGCACATACATCGTTTCATGGTTAAATTAAGCAATTTATAATAATGAATATTAATCTAAGTCAATATTTTATTACCAACTGTTGTCCAACGTTATGCTTCCTTGCAAGTTGGGACTTGTAACTATAAAATCTTTTTGAAAGCTCAATAGCTACTTCTCTCCAACAGGTTGGATATTAGTAGGGATAAAAAAAACTATTTTTTCTGGAAAAACAAAAACAAAATTGTTTTTTATTACTATTACAATAGGGGTTGGAGGCAACTATCTTAGTTTTCTCAGATTCCGATGGATCCCCCCCCATATGTTTTTTATATTAAATATTTTATTTATGATTATTTTTTTTACATGTTATTTTAATATTATTTTGTTTTGTTTTTATATATTATGCTATTTTTTAATATATTTTTTTAAAATTTAATAAAATTAAATATCATAAAAAAAATAAGCGTTTCTAGATAAAAATTTACGATTGTAGTTGATTTTTAAAAAAATATTATTGGGGATTCATTTTTCAAATCTTTATAAAATATAGTAAAAATTTAAAAAATATTATTATAATGTCAGTAACATAGTAGACAGTGGGGTTGGGCATTAGGTAAAATTTTGTTTTTATAACTTTTATATTAATTTGATGAAAATATGCTATCATTTTTTAAATAAACACCCTCTCCTTTTCCAGACTTTTAGTGCTTCTATAATTTTGATTCTAGAACAATGCCAACTTGGCAATTTCTTATTTTGACACCATTCGTCTTTTTATAAACTATCTTGAAGCATTAAAATGCATTTTATGCCCTAATTATTTGTATAAGTTCCAAAGTTAAAGCTTTCAGAAGTTTGGATGACTTCACGCTAGTTTTTTTATATGGTTTATATTTCGGTCACCTTCTCTGGTTGTCGAAATTGGTTAAAAAAATTAATAAGTAATACTTAGTTTTTTAGTATATATTTCAGAATTAGTGTTTTTAAAAACTTGGCTCACTCTACGCTTAAAGCTTACATCATAGTTTTTATATTAGTTATAATTCAGTTTCATTTTTTTTGAAGAATTAATAAGCACTAGCCAGGCACTGAATATCAGCGCACCAAATATTCAGTTCTTCTATATTTTCCATCGAGCATATTTTGACATCAAACGGATTATAATACACTAATAAACACTACAAGTGTGTTCTGATTCGACTTAATTTTGATACTTAATTACTTTTTATTTAGGCTAAAAAGCTTTTGAACTAGGAGACCCCGTGTTTGTTTTAAATATGAAAAGCTCGTCTTTTTTTTTAAAAAAAAAATCTACATAAAAACCATCGAAAAGTTAAATTTTATTTGGACTTGTCTTAATTGTTCATAATTTGTGATGTAGATCTAAATAGGGAAAAGATTGAATAGTAAATAACATAATTATAGAATTAAAATATTACTATGTTTAGTACAATAACATATAACATTGGTTTAGTAATATGAAATATGTAAGTATATAATATACATTTTTATAATAAATTTAATTTATATGTTCAAATATATACATGTGTTTATTTAATATAAAGGTGTCTAGAATACCACATTCTGATATATAACAATCAATCTCCTTTGATTGATAATATAAAAAAATTAAAACCACTTTATTCTAATAGTCACAGAATTGATGTCTGCTTAGCAATCCAAGGTCTAGCGTTAAAATCTTGTTAGGCAATTTTTTAATGTTTTTTTTTAAAAATTAATTTGAAACAAAATACGGGAACTGTATAATTTTTTTAAATTTGATTTATTTTGTAAAAATAACTATTACTATTTACTTTTGAATTTGATAAAATGCGCAGAGAAACTATAATTAGTTTCAATATTCTATAAATACAACAACCGAATTAATTCGTTAAATTCAAATTACTTATTAAATAATTTCCTTCATAATAATTGTGACATCTCAAATTAAAAATTACAATCAATTATATACACTTGTTATTTTTTAATAAAATGCTTTATCGATGTGACATATTAAATAGCCAGCCTGTTTAGCAATAAGTTGAACTAGAACAGACCCGCGTTTAATATTTATAAATTTTTTTAATATAAATGACTTCAGTTTCTTTTAATTGTTAGGTAGGTCAAAACTTTGTTGTAATTAAACTCTTCCTGCATACTGACTGTTCTATCGGTTAAAGCAGCCATCACTAATAAGCATACATTTCAGAAATAGTGCTTCCAAAAGGAGATAATATAAAGATGATATTACATATATTAATAAGCGAGAATATCAACAATATCTAATTATAATTTTTTAAAGAAAATATCTTTTTATTCCATTGTTTTTAGTATTGATTAAAACATCGATTTTGCCAATTTAATAGGACTATAGTCGCCGAACCTTAACTTTTTGCGAAATTTCGCAGGTGATAATTCTTTACACAATAAGTATCTGTTATCTCCTATGTGAATGACTAATTTTTCAATCATTTTATTAGTATTTGGTGTCGTGTGTGTGTGTGACTAGAAGGGCAAACCCATTCCATTTATTTTCTTAGGTATTATACTTCCTATTTAAGTTTTCATTACTCTTATGGAAGAAATTGTCATTTATTGCTGATTTTATATGCATTTTAAAATTGTAAAAAAAATTCATATTTTTGAGCACTTTCTTTTCAGCTCACATTTATTTTATAGTGATTTATGGTATGAGTTCCATTTTAATTATTCCGTATTCTCCCATTCTATGATTGGCGAAAGCGAGTTTTTGGTCTAAAACTTAGAGTTATGGCTGTTATATAAATATAACATTTTATAACGGTATTTTTTTTGTGTCTAACATTTTTTAGTAACTAGTCCTAATAAATTTTCAAAATTTTAGAAGTTCATTTTAGAATATTTTAAAAAGGCATCCTTTCAAAGCTTGGCTACGCGTTTATTATCAAAAATTTTTTAACTTTTCATCATATTTCAAAATATGAGACTCGATGTTTCTGGCCATAGATTTAAAATTTTTTAGATTTTTTTCGCGCAACTTTTTAATTTCTGAGATGTTTTTTAATAATTAGTCGAGGAGGAATTTTTTTATCTATTTTAAAGAAATGAGAGCAAATTTACGTCTAAATATATCTAATCTAATTATATCCACAGGAGACCTGGTGGGGGGGGGGGGTAATTTTAGCCCTAAATTCCCATGTCTATGTCAATATTCCTTAGTTGTTCTTCTTCTATCACTTGAAACAGAATGATTTTTCATTTTGTAATATGAATTTAATTATGATAGAAAAAAAATTTAATAATATAAAAATATATATATACTATTACAAAAATGATTGGGGCGGTGAAAGAATGAAGAAAGACATAAACACATTACATTACAGATATTGCCTTTTTGGTATGAGTTTTATGCTAACTTTTTATAAATGTGTTCAATTTTTTATACCTGCATAATTTATTTTTTCTTGGGATTTTTTTATCTAAACAAATATTTTTGATATATTATTTACCTTTAAAAATTTGTCGGTTAAAAATTTTAATTTATTTTTTTACCCAACGCCACTATTTTGTTAAAAAATCAGTTTTTCTTTTCATTCTCACACAAATTCTGAGAATTTTTGTCCCTTTTTTAACGTACTATAAAATATTCAGAGGTAAAAAGAATGTGAAATTTTGACAAGAGATGATAGCAGAAAATTTGTCTAATTGTTTACTGTAAAATGTTTAGATTTTCGATTTGTTGAAAGATTGACAATCGAAAATGTAATCAACAATTAATAATTATTTAAATATTATATAATTGATATTAAAGTGGATTGTTTTCTCTATGACACGCGGGTAACTTTATAAAAGTCTCTTTCTCTTTTTTTAATAATATTTATATTTAATATAAAGATAAATATTTATTACAATTAATAATAAAATTTACTTTTTAAAATCTATTAACTATTCACAATATTTAAAAATTA